CTTAAACTGTGGACAAATATTGACTTTAATAGCTTTTAATAGAATAAAAATTATACCTTTAATAAAATTGATCTGGCGTTGGAAAATCTCTTCAATATTTTCATAATAACAATAAAATGGGGCGAATAGAGAGGTGAATAGAGGCAGAAGGGAGGTGAATCGATGCTATGAGGAATTTCCCAATATCTATTCATCCCGCTTCTCTCTCTCTCTCTCTATTCAACTCTAGATCCCTATCCACACCATTTTACCCCATGTTACACTGGAAAAAGAAAGGCAGGCAGATTTCTGCACACAATACGCTTTTACTCATACCTTAAATTCTTATTTATCAAACTTATTAAAATAAGGAACTAAGTTATTTCCAAATATGTAGACTCTGTCAATACTATAAATTTATCATTTTGGCGATTGTATTTAATATATATGTATATAAATATATATTATATGTAGTTTTGTTCCCAATTTATTTATTTACTTTTATAGTATTGTTATCTAGTAATATTGATAATGTATCTTATGTAATTTATATTATACCTATATATTATACGGATATATGTATGTATTTACACTTATGCATAATCATGAATTTATTTATATAGATTTTTCTGTGTCACATAAACCATTACACCTATTACACCTACTGTTGCACATCTCTGCATCACCCCATGGTTGACTGTTAGAGAATGCCACCCGGCATTAAGTCCGCCATCGTATGTTTGTTATACAGAAGTGTTAATAAATAAATAAATGTTAACTGATTTTTAGCTGCTAACAACTAGGAAATCAACAAGAATGCCGAAAGTTTGCATTACAATCCAATTTTTTTCAAACAAACATGCTACGGCAGTTATTTAATCTTGTAAAAACACTATAATAATATTTAGGAGGGGTACTTACAGGGTAAGATAAAATGAACTTCTTGCAAGCTGTCAAGTAATGCAGGAGGGACTCTTTATTTATTAATCTACTCCGAGCATAAAAGGACATTTAAGCGACTATTTTAAAAGAATATTTTTTTATGTTTTCGGCTTTATTACCTAAGTAATTATTTGATGAGGAACTCAAATAGTTTCAAGCCAAACTAGAGTTTCATATTCATGAGCAGCATTCCGCGACCCGCAACCAGGCGATTGTGCGAGGGGGACTGGGATGCCGTCTCCTCCTTTTGCGAAGCAGTCATGCTAGCTAAGGAGGAGGCGGGACGCGTGAGGCAGCGAAGCGCTGCCTCCTCGCAACCCAGCCATCGCGAAGGACACACCAGGCGTCGGGGATCGCGGGACGATCTCGGCCACCGTAAGCGGGGGCCTGCGGACGCGCGAGCATGGGGGTCCCCGTCCGACCAGAAAACAGACCCGAGCGTACGGCGCGTCGCGTTCCGCGCGCGCCTCAAAGAGCCATCAGACCACCACAGATGGGGCCCAATAGGGCCGATGCCGATTCGGAGTCGCGGAGAACCTTACGGGTAACCGGGGCTCCGGCTCGACGTGCAGGAGAAGGAACGGGGTGGTTTTTAGTCAGTAAGAGTCTGACACTCCCTTCCGCCTCACCCAGGCGGGAGCAGTCATTCGATGATTTTCCCCCCTTAAAAAAAAAAAAAAAAAACCAGGCGATTGTAGCGCTGAGCAGCGCGACAATCGTCGCCTCATGGGTCAACTAGTCGAGTTCCTCGTCAAATAATTACGTGAGTAAGCCGAACATTACATAACATAACATCACGCCTTTTATCCCCGAAGGGGTAGGCTGAGGTGCACATTATGCCACTGTACAATGTAACACCCACTTTTCACTATTTATGTTATGAGTCTCATGTAATAGGGGGTGAGCCTATACCGGGCACAATTCCAGACTCCGTGCTACTACTGAGATTTTTTTTAAAACCCAGTAATACTTTGCCCGACCCGGGAATCGAACCCGAGACCCCTTACCCGGCAGTCGCACTTGCGACCACTCGGCCAACGAGGCAGTCAGCCGAAAATATAATAATTAATTTTAATTTGTGTCACGAAAGTTATAAGACTTCTGAGAATTTCAAATTCAGAAACCCAGTACATCTTTTGAACCACCAATAAATTGCATCTTGTATTAACATTAAGTGTGGGAGAGCCATGCTTCGGCACGAATGGGCCGGCTCGACCGGAGTGATACCACGGCCTCACAGAAAAACGACGTGAAGCTACGCTTGCGTTGTGTTTCGTCGTGTGAGTGAGGTTACCGGAGACCCAATTGCCCTCCCCTTCCCCAATCTCCCCAATTCCTGAATCCCCAACGATCCTCAAACTCCTAATCCCCAAGGGGCCGGTTGCGCACTTGTGACGCCTCTGATGTTCCGGGTGGCCATGGGCGACCCCGATTGCTTACCATCAGGTGATCCATCTGATCATATTATATTAGTTGTGTACAATAAATTAGCCGTATCGTAATAAAAAAAATGTATCTACATCATTTCATTGCTATCTGTAAGTTTGATTTATTGTTAATCAGTACGAGTTTTCATAGAAGCTATTTTCCTATTGTATTTTTGGGAAATAGGCCGCCAACTTTTTTAGAGAAAATAATTATCGATTTTAATATTAAAGAATTTTTTTTTTCAATGCCCTTGGCTCTATTTAACAAAGTCTTAACTATAAATTTCCTTTTTTAAACCTTAGGTTATCTCATTTGAAAACAAAAAAAGAAAGTTTGGGTCTACATTAAAAAAAATATGGAATAAATTTTCTACTTTTAAAATATTGAATTTAAAGTATATTGAAATTAACAGTTCATCTACTAAAGAATAACTCTATAATAGAAACAGTGAATAATCAGTTCCCATGAACGGAGAACTTATTTGGGGGTACGGCAGTCGAGCGCGAAGCAAACACTGCCGTACTTCACAGGGACCTTTTCGCCGCCATTTGGATTAACAATTTGGATAAGATTAAAACGCGAAAATGTTCATTATCCAGTAGGCTGTAGGTAATCTCATACTTAAAATCCAAAAGTTCAAGTTTGTTGGTTTTGGAAACCAAGTTTCGGATTTGGGACACTCACTCGCTCACTCACTCATGATCATTAAAATAGAACGGGTACTTCCTATAACCTCAGAGAGCTGAAATTTGTTACAGAGTTAGCGTTCAATGGCCACATGTAGGGAAAACTATAAAAAACTAGGATAATCGAAGGTCCAGTTATGGGCAAGACACACAACATTAATTATAATAATAAAGAAATTGCAGTAAGAAACCTTCGATTTGGCAGGACTTTGTCTAGATTTCATTACTTCTTAGAGATGAACGAGCGGCTCATCGAGACTTGGTAAATTATTTACAGAATGTTTTGGTTGGATTCATTTATCTACGTTAGTTTATGACTACGTAAATATGTAGATATGCCTAGCCACAGTGAGTTAACAATACAATCTATAAAAAGTGAACATAGTCCATGTAAATATTTATTTACCTCTCATCTAGACCTCTTATTCGTAAACCAGCGGAAACTTAGATAAATATCTTTACATGGCAGACTAGATACGGCCTTGTCTAGGTTTTTCGGTCAAATATCCTTATATTACTAGAAATGCTATTTTAATATATCTTGGTCGTATTATCCTGCTTGTTTTTACTAGTAAAACAGTCAAGGTACATGCCTCTCAATATTTTAATCACGGTTTTAATCAATTTATCAAACGGTACTGCTTCAAAGCCTGGATCGTATCCAGCTTGTGCGGTTTACAGCTAAAATTATTGCTTGCTGTTACTATGTAACGAAACTTGACTTGAAAACTGTTGCATGTGATTAGCAGTACGTGTACGTACTAAGAAATCTAGATAATGCTGCAACTATGACCATCCAAGAACAGAATTACTCATTCGAACTCACTCTTAACCTGTATGGAAGAATCAAATTATGTTAGCTAAGATGCTGCGTTACAAAAGATAGATGTCAAGAATGAACACAATCCCTCAAAATTAAAAAACTTCAGTCTTCGACTGACCTTTAACCCTTTTACTTATTTAGTCAAAACTAAGGACGTTGAAAAGAGCGGACATATTGTCACTTAGAAATGATTGAAGCACCAAAATGTCAGTGGGTTATTTCTGTGTGTGTGTGCGTTCAATAGGTTACCATATTACCAGACTTAAGGAAATGATAGATGTCCTTCGTGTGAATGTGTGTATGTTCTGCGTGTAAGTGTATAGTAATCAGGTTCCACAGTTGTTATTTCAAGAGACTGTGACCGCCTTTTTGTCAACGTCCATAGAAGGATGAAATTTGACTGTAGACCAAGATCAGTGATGTATTATTATTGGATAAACCGATGTGTAGCAAAAATGTAAATAGGCCGATAATTACGAATAATTGCTAACTAGGTTTTATGGGTTCTTAATACATGAGTTCTCTTACCTACACCTCAGTAATATTTTATAGAAGTGGGTATGTAATATATAAAAAAAATTAGTAGGCTTTGCAAATGTATAATTATTATACTTTGGATGAGGTCAACAACTCGCTGAACTTGTTATAATTGATCACTACCGAGAACCAAAAACGTAAACATGATAAAATTATTTTAAACAACACTCTATTTTTATTTATTTTCTGTGATGTAATTGTAAGTACGGAAGGTCGCGGCATTGCCGTGTACTCATCAGAATTATATTTACCTTATTTGTATTAAGACGTATCAAGAAGTTGTATTTAATTTTCGATCCGTTATACCAATTTTATGTTATTGCGTCAACTTGGGTACCTGCCCAAACTAATTAAATGTGAGCAAAAAACGTCCATCTGCTGATTCCGAGAATATTATACGGACAGGAAACAAATCTAAGTCATTTGTGGCTTTGAGGCGTAGTGTCGTATCCAAAACATTTAGCAGAGCGTCAATAAATCGGAAAACCCTTTAAAATTGTCTAAAGAATATAGGGATTGTTATTCGAACTATTTTCAGTATATTGTGTTTATAGATTATACGGATATATTTCTATTTCAGTTGATATAATTGTGACTTATATAAAATGGATTTCAGAATAGCAAAGGTAAGAATACGATATTTTTATTTTATTCAAATAATCTTTGCTTATCGTTTAACATAAAGTTTAGTAAGTACTAATAAAGTTCAATATTTCAAACTTTAACTATCGGCATTTTTCATTCTTTTTTTTGCCTACATAGGTCCAAAACGCTTACATGTATTGCTATTGTTGTTTCCTCGTTATACCTACATTGTTTTTTAAAGAAATGGTTCATTGCACAGGAGTTATGTAGTTTATTATTATTATTTATTTAATCATTTACTACGAATAGCGAGTAAATAAAACCATATTGATACAGTGTAGCAAATAAAGTATACCTATATTATGTAACATGTACCTACCTAAAGATTTTTTCCTATAATTACAGTGAAGACTTTAAAATTATGTTTTATAAATGTAGATTAAATCAGAACTGGCAGGTCTGGCTTATTATATCTGCTTTTTGTTTCGTAGGAAAAACATACAATAGGTTGTTTGTGTATTCATGCAAAATTTAAATAGAGTTCGCGTAAACGATAAACCTGAGTCTGGGCTTCGATTCTCAGACGTAGCAAAATATGTCATATATTTACCAAAATAGATTAAATCACAGAGAAAATAGGTACAGCAGCGTGACAAATGGAAATATTCAATATAAATGTTTAGGGATCCCATTACCTATTCCGAGATTCATATTAAGTGCATGTCTACAGAAAACTGTTCTAGAACTCGCATCGGTTGATACACTTTTAAATAAAAACAGTGTAAATGGCTCAAACGAAAAAACGTAGAAAAAACTAAAAATAGCCACAAAGCCATTGTAAGCCTATGTGTTATATTTTTTGTATTCGATGAGCGGTCAATACTCCGCACGAACAGGCAAAAACAGAGACGCAAGAACTAAGTATTTTTATGTTATAAGTCTCAAATTACTTAGATAGTTTTGGTTTTTCGGAAAATTCAGTACCAGTTCTCAAATTAATTTTATCACTGAGAATCGATACATAAAAAAACACAGTAATTATTGGTTGTCTACTCCAGAATGCAAAAATAAGTTTCGATTGTTCGCGCACACCTCGAAGACCATAACAGATGGGACCTACTAGGGCGCGATGCCCGAACGGGGCAACAGAGAGCCGCTAGGGTTACCGAATATAAGCAGAAGTTGGAATGAGTGTTTTTAGTCAGCGAGAGTATGATGGCATTCCCTCTCGCCTTACCCAGGGAGGACGAGAAATCATTTGATGATTCTCCCCAATAAAAATGAAAAATTTGATTGTTGACAGAGTTATCATCCCATTTTCAAGCACTTCAACAACTAGGCAGTTTCTTCAACAACTAGGCAATTTCTCAAACTTCAACAACAGTTGTTTAATTGCATTTTTCTCTGATTTTAGTTCCTGATGCTGTGGATATGTATCAACATAGAGTTGGCTGCAAGTATGCCGTCTGAAGTCAATACACGGACTAAAAGATCACCAGCAAACAATTTTTCGGTATTTGGATTGAATTTAGGATCGTAAGTTCTTTAATTATACACGTTACACTAAATCTATTATTAAATAGAGTTTGAATTGACATTGGTCTATCCAGAACTTAGTATATGTATAAGAGTCATAGAGATAGAAAACAGTTTTTACATACTATTTTGCTTGCCTGATGAAAGGCTAATCATGCAAAATTTAAAAAAGATTACTTACTTTTTGCCATATTAATACATACATACATAACCTCACGCCTGTTTCCCAGGGGCAGTAGGCAGAGACTATGAAACGTATCAATCGATATACGATCTATGATAATAATTTTGAACGGAATTCTTTATAATAATTATGACTGTTTTGCATCGAGAATCGCATGTCAACCTCAACAATGGCGTTTGCGATTAAATCTACCAGTTTCATTATAATAGGCAAACGTATAATGAGTGTTTATCTAAGTCATTTTTTATGATTATCTATTGACACAATCTTCCTTGTAATAATATTTCTTATCAATGCAATGGTTAACTGGCTAACAACGCCAGAGCCAATTTGAGGTAAATTACGTAATATACATATTTTGTAAAATTTATTAAATAATTTTCCTTTCAGTGCTTTTTCAGCAACAAAACAAGCAGCTAGCGATACTTACACAAGTATTGGAAATATATTTACCGGTAATAACAACAAACGTAAGCAAATGATAGAACCTCCTGGCATCTTAGATCCAAATCCCTTCATTAACATGCTACCTGCAGGAAGACCAAACAAAAATATTGTACCGTCATCTACCCAAAACAGTATTCCAGAAACTAACAAAAATATTTTGCCACATGAAAGTAAAACTGAAGGTAATAAAAAACCTACCATCACAACTGAGAACTCACCTCTGCCAAACGATGAACCAAATACAACAACAGAATCAGCTATAGATATTGAAAATGAAGTATCAGAGAAAAGTACTGAAATTAAAGATATTGAAAAGGAAATTGATAAAGAACTGTTGGATTATATATTTAGAAGTGGACCCACTAATTACAATAGCGGTACGGATAGTAATCTCGACAATTCTATTGAGTACACGACATCTACCGGCGATTTTGAAACTGTAAGTATTAAACATATATAACACCTCTGCAACCGAAGTTTGAACTAGACAATATAGTATGTTTCTGTAAGTAAATTCAGTACTATATGTACATATAACCAAAATACTAATTGGATACCCAAAATTCCTTCAACATATTTTCTAATATTATAATAATGATTAGTGTAAAAAAAAACAAATAATTAACTAAGTACTACTTTATTAATTTCAGACTACCTGTTCATTAGAAAACCGGATTCAACCAGCGGTTGTGGCTTCCTTCTAGGATAACGCAGTTTCACATTGGCCATAACAGACCTGTGTGTGAAGATAAGACTGGAAGAATCTCGAAACATCTTCCATGCTGTACATCATTATTTCGACAAGTTTCTCTCCATTCGTATCGTATTCTTCATAAAGGAGACTTTCTACTGCAGCTAGGCGTGGGTCTTGATCTTTGTTATCCTTCTTTTTGTTCTTTCTTTTCTTTAAGCTCTGCCGTAACATTGGTTGGTTTATTATAAGAACACGTCTCTTTACTCCTACTGACGTCGTTCTGTTCATCGATCTAAATGTGACATTTCCATCTACTGTGGGCACTGTAATATTAGACAGAACCTGCATCAGTTCAGCGGGAACAGTTGGTTTATAACTTGTGGAGACTATGACTGTTACCACATCAGTTGAATCGGTTCCAGTTCTGTTAGGAAAAGTCATTACTATATTAATTCTGTACATTTTTGTAATTTCATTATATAAATGCAGATACGATATTAATAAATTAATAATAATTAATGGTATTGGTTTATGTAATATCTTACCCATCTTCTGTTGGTTCTTGTGTCGTTATTGGTACGGTGTCAATACAAAAAGCAGGTAGAATAAAAATACTAATGACCTGGAAAAAATAATTGTTAATTTGTATTAATGGAATATTTAAAATGAATAAATTATTTCTTACTTACAAGTAAACATTTTAGATAGATCATTTTAAGTCTTTATACTGGTCTTTCTCATTGTCATTAATTTAAACTAACTGCATGAACGTTGTAATGAAAATGAATTTTCCATAAAAAATTATGGTCTCGTAAAACAACAATTGAACGAGGAAATAATTTAGGCAATAAAAAAATTGCATTACTCATTAAGACACATCATAGCTATTTGGCAAATTACATGCTTTGGTTATGTAATTTGTAGAAAAATCTCACAATTCTAATTACTGTTAATGTATTAAAGATGATACTACAGTAATTCTGTCTAAATACTAATTCTTTAACAGTACCGTACTTTATTTAGGACATGGGTCTTTATTTTGGTAATTATGAACCACTTCATTAATTTATTTTTTACTTTCTACCTCTTGTACATATATACAATACATACGTCATACATAACCTCACGCCTGTCTCCTATGGGGGTAGTCTCTGCCACCCCGTACTCCGTTGCCGTTCCATTGTCTCTATTATAGAACGTCTTTGCATATTTACTTGACATTAAATTATTGTTATTTATTTTATTAATTAATGAAATTACGTTAAATAAGTTTTTAATCGTAACTCATTATTAAATCAACTTTCATAGTACCTATATGGTTTGGTTATACTCAATTTTTTTACTGTTACCTATAAAAACAAACTAAAATAAAATTCTTATTCATAACTAGTTGTTATTTAAAAATTTACTATATAAAGAGAATTTTATCACCCATTACACGAATGCCTTCGACAAACAATAAGAAATTCATTAACCAATGTGTGTCTACCTCTCCCACAAGGAACCATTAAACCTGTATTCGTTTAATTTTACCTGTAACAAAAATAAATACATAAACCAAGATGTGCCTGATAGGCAGCAATTAGTAAAGAATTTTGATGCAAAAGGTTTACCATGAGAGCAATTTGCTCAAAATAAAATTGTAGGCGTGTTCATACTCTGCAGTAAAGTAGGATCTACCACAGATTGCAGAAAAGTCATTTTCTTAGTAAAACATTTATTTAGGCGAAACGCATGACTAAAATAAATTAAAGAAATAAAGAATGCTCAATAGTGGACGATACATACTAACAATTACTTTAAAAAAAAATTATATTAAGGTAAGCGCCTGCAAATATATGATAGGAAAAATTTGTGTTGTTGGTGTACCTGCACAATCGTAGGGAGTATATTTTTTCTTATAGTAGATAAATACAGAGGAGAGAGTAAGGATTAGGATTGACCAGATACGGACGAGAACGATGGGACTCATCGATAGACGAGGGACATGGAAGGGACTCATATCCAGCAGCGAATCACAAAACCTGATAAAAATCAACTAGCAATGATTCTAAAAAGTTGATTTGATCAACTTAGCTCTTGAAAGACTGCAGCAAATTGGATATTGGTACATAGGTACCTACATGATGTACAACGCTCCCAAAAATGCAAACAGGTGATAGTAAAAAAACGAGTGTTACAAAAGTAAGTAATTATATGTTCGTTTTATGTAATAATAACTGCTTTTAGGCTGATGTTACATGAGTAACACAGAAAAATAAAATTATTAAAATTATGAAAGTGGTCTGTGTTTTTAGGGGTCCTCCATTTACACTTTGTATGTTATGTATTTGGATTTGTATCAAAATTAAAAATAAAAGCCTAAAACGAAACATACGAAAAAAGAGGATATAGATAATAAAAAAAGAAAATATCTACTCTATTACTGAACAACTGAACTCATCAGCTTGTAGTCTTGCGAGTGATCGCCGACACAAATTAAAAAAAAAAGAAATTTACAAGTAAAAATAAAATTGATGTCAAATATACATACTTACCTAAGTAGGTACAAAAACACAGCACGTAACACGCATATACGTAACAGTTTGTATGCATTTATGCAAAAGGAATTAATAGAACTCAATAATAAAAGACAAGGACACCGTTTTATGGTCCAGTTGGTATTTTGTTGGTGGTCATGGATATGTGATTTACTGTATACTAACATTGAACCTGTCTTGCAGTTACACAATATACAGACGGACCAATACCTATTTATTTTCTGATAAAATGTTAGTGATATCGAATTGCAATTTTTTAGCACTTTGATTATAGTGGATGCTTGCTTATACGCATTGACTACCGTGTTGGTAGGACGACTGCTAACGCTACTTTTTTTTTTGATGGGACAAGCCCGCGATAGCCTCCGAAAACCGCTGCAGCTCCTGTAAGCCAGATTCTACAGTACATACAACCATGAAAACACCGGAACACTGAAGGCGCGTCCCAGGGACATGAATCGTTTTCGTAACGAAGTGAATCAGAGGCCTTAGTACAAGTTTCATTTACGTAAAACAAACTCGTACTAAGAAGAGAAAAAAAAGAATAGTTTCCACTTCCCTCGGTGAATTACTGCAGGAGATAGAATGAATTAAGCCTAAAGACACAAAAAGAGACTGTATAACTGGGTGAAGCCCAGTCGCCAAGCACCACGGAAATTTGACTAAAAACTAAATGCTGACGTGACTGTCAAGCAAGGGGATTTCGAGTTTCATTCTACAGTTAATTAAGATATTCTTAGGTATTTAGTAATAATGCGGAGTCTGCAATTGTACCCAGTGAATAGATTGCCAATGACATGAAACTGTTGAGTCTCATCTTCCTGTAGATAAGATGCGATTGCGATATTTTCTTTATCGTCAATGAAGATGTGTTGTTATTGCTACATAATTACCTACAGCCTTAAAATATAAAGCAATAAGTGTAAAAACAAAGTTGCCACACCTCAACCTCTTTCAATGAAAGTCAAATGTTTGAATTGATCACGTTTTCGAAATAAATCGATTACAATCCATAGAAACGTTTCGCATATTTGATATTCAAATCCAAAGGTAAAAGTTGACTGGCGTGTTGAAAAGCAGGAGAAAATTATACATACACATACATATTATATTTCTTATTCTACATGCTTTATTTCAACAATAAGTCTTTTAAGGAAACGTTAGAGTTGTTTGCATACAATAGTGCTAAGTGTCAAGGACAAGCCAAGTCGTAAATATCTAATAGTTACTGCACCTTCAAATAACTTTTACTCATTGCTACTTTTACTTTATCAAGGTATTAATAGGTTAACTACAGATTATGCACAGATATTTTATATACAGATAATTTGGCTACTTCCCATTTGGTAAACTTCCCATTTCGTAAACCTCAAACTGTACCTACTAAAAAGTTGCGTTTGGTAAACATTATACATTTCATACATTTAGTCCCATTTCGAAAACATTTCAATATTCTTTTGTGTTATATCCCATTTGGTAAACTTTCAGATGAAATGGGTACAGTCAAGTAAAAAAAGAAAAACGAAACTAATGATAACATTGTCATTTATTGGAAGCGTTTTACCTACCAATAAAACGCATATTAATTTACTTACCTTATTCGAAGCTTATTTAATTGAGATAGGCCTTCTGCTTCCCTCCTTCCGCTTTTTCTATATGTCTATCTCTTTCTACTACGTCACTTCCACTTGGCAGTGGTGGGGAGGCTTGCTAAGAGAGACTCGCTTTTTTATTTCATTGAGTCTCATTACCAGGCAGAGCTATGACTATAAGCTTCGAATAAGTAAGTAAATTAATATGCGTTTTATTGGTAGGTAAAACGCTTCCATTAATTTGACTTGACCGTTATTTCGAAGCTTAATTTAATTGAGACGTGTTTGTTATCGCCTGGTGGAAGTGACAGACGCCAATGTGAGGTAGTTATGACTGCGGTCAAGGTATGATGTGGTAAAATCACGGAATAGAAAAACTAAGTAAATAGTAAGATCTAAAACATACATGTTTTGAAGAAAGGAATTGTAGCAAAATCTATTCTTTATGACATTGTATTTGATCTGAACAAAAACAGATGTAATATATCTCTGAGGTATTTTATTACCTTATTTCTAATTTTCTGATCGACTTGATTGAATAAAAAGGCAAAGATACATCTCATCATCATCATCATTACTTAGAAAGGATCGCTTCAAAAGGATAATATCCACTCAATTTTTCAGGTCACAGCTTATCTGAAACCCTCAGGATGTCTTGGGGAATTACTGATACCTTAAACTGTCAAACACCAAGCGGTCACCGGTGACCGCGACCTATTGTTCTTTAATTGTGTCTATAAAACCGGTACTCGACGAGTTTAAATATCGGTTACCGCCAAAAGAACCTTGATCCTGACCGCAATTAGAGTTTTCTATGCCGGTTTAAGTTCACGTGTAATAAAACAAAACTATAACAATTTGCATTATTTTCAAATTTGACACATAACATTACAGCTTACGCCAGCTTATGCTTAGTACAGTGGACTGGATCTAAGCTTTAGAAATTTGGTATACAGGCAGGGTATGGGCCGACTTAGGTGATAGGATGCTTTTTATCCCGATAAGTGCTCCCTTGGTAGAAATGCACGGGCAAAGTCGCGGGTGAAAGCTAGTTTATTATTATCCAATTAATCAACAGAATCAGTTTTTGATCTAAAACCGACCGAAAAACTAGTACGTGATTATGATTACGGTAATTATTAGAATCAATATCGAGCAAAATGAAGTCATGAAATCATCTCCTGGAGTATAGGAGAAATAGAACAGCTGTTTGTTTCTGCACTTGAAAGACTATTAATACGTTTACTGTCTAAGAATCTAGCTAGATCGTTTATGACCCAAACAGGGCGATTGACATGGTCAATCACCATTTACTACACGTTTTACATATCTACTTACATTTGAGATTAACTGACTAACTGATGTGTTAGTTCATAAGTTAGATTAATGTTACTGATTGTATAGTTTTTAGCAATAAATGCTAAAGGACATATGGTTCTGGTTAACAAAGGACAGTAACCACAGATTTTGATTGTACAAAATTTAAGTGTACGACAAATTATTGATTCAATAGAGATCGATATAGATAAAAATGTCAAAAATCTTGCTATAGGAGCCGAGGGGTTCCCCCCCCCTCCGGTG